TAATATTTTTATCTTATTTAATTTTATTTTCAATTATATTCATATATGCACTACTAATCTAAAAGTTCCTGTTTGAATCCAAATTGCAAACCAAAGAAGTCCAATTTTGAATATTCATAACTATAAATCCTATCGAATGTTGTTAGTTTTAACTTTTAACAGTGTTCGGTTTTAAAGTTTTTAATATACTTATTTCTGATTTTACATGCATTAGTATTGAAATTCAGTTTGATATATCAGTATGTNATATGTCATGAAATCAAATACATGAAAATTGAGTCAACTAATTATCTACTCGACTCAGATAAAGTAACTATATACTTAAAGTGGGATCGACTTTAAAACACTAAAACAAATATAATATAATATTTTCTTCCGACACGCAAATAACAAAAAAATGTGTATTTACAGTCAACTAAACACATGTCCAATATGAAATACATGCCTCGTAAAAACTAAATTAGTTTGAGACTAAAATAATCAATGCATAGGAGAAAGGAACCACAAAGTGAAAAAGTAAATATTTGCATGTTGTAATAATATTAATAATAGTTGAAACATTGTAACTTTGCTAATAGTTGAAACGTTGTAATTTTACAAAAAGTTAAAATCCGCACCACACCCACAAAGGATTTTAAAAAATTTATTTTGACCCGCCCCGCGCCCGCATATGTCTAAACCTGCACCACCCCGTATATGCTAAAACCCGCACCGCCCCATTGCCATCCCTACTTGAGGCCAATAAGTAAGTTGATATTNGCTATAGAAGAAATATTTTTGTTGCTACTATTGATATATACTTAAGGCCAATAAGTTTGAAGTGAAAAATTGCACTTTAGATGTACTTAAGGCCAAATAGGTGTGAAATACAACAAATGATTTCATGCACTTAAGGCTAGAGAAGGCAATGTGGTGGTGCGGGGCAGGTTTTGCCTTAACCCACAAAATTTCAGCCCGTCCCACCCCGCCCCATATAGTATTTTCACCCGCATCCACCCGCCCCGC